AAAGATAACTCATAGGAAACATGTATTATTGGAAGCATGTAACTGTGGTGACTCTAAACCTAGACAGGCAAACTGCCTCACCCCAACCTGCACTTTCACTGCTTCTACCATTGGCCCGTACTCCAAGGCAAATAACTCTTTGCAACCTTTATTAAAATCATAGCCTTTATTATAGAACCATTGAATGGTTTCCATTGGCAGGGACATGAAAGATCATCCTGTTTCAAGCCCCCTGCCATGGGCAGGGACATCTTCCACTAGACCAGGTTGCTCAAAGTCTCATCCAACCTGGCCTTAAACACTTTACAGATGGGACATTCAAACTTCTCTGGGCAAGCAGTTCCAGTGTCTCACCACCCTCAGAGTAAAGAATTTCTTCCTAATATCTAATTTAAATTTCTCTCCTTTTAGTTTAAAACCACTAGCCCTTGACCTATCACCATCTGACCATGTAAAAAGTCCATCAACCTCCTTTTATAAGCCCCCTTTATGTACTGGAAGGCCTCAATGAGGTTTCCCTGGAGCCTTTTCTTCTCCAGGCTGAACAAAACCAGCTTTGCTCAGCCTGTCTTCGTAGGACAGGTGCTCCATCCCTTTGATCATCTCTGTTGCCCTCCTCTGGATTTGCTTCAACAAGTCCACATTTGTCTTGTGCTAAGACTTTCAGAAGTGGACACAGTACTCCAGGTGAGGAGTAGAGCAGAGTAGAGGGGCAGAATGCAGTTGGTCTTCTGGGCTGGAAGTGCACATTGCTGAGCCGTGGCCAGCTTTTCATCCACCAGAACTCCACATCCTCCTCAGCAGTGCTGCTCTCAATGAGTTTTTCTCCCAGTCTGTACTTGTGTCTGGCATTGCCCTGATCCAGGTGTAGCACCTTGCACTTGGACTTGTTGAATGTCATTGGGTTCTCATGGTCCCACTTCCAAAGTCTGTCCAGGTCCCTCTCGATGGCATCCCATCCTTCTATTGTATCAATGACACCGCTCAGCTTTGTGTCATTGGCAAACTTGCTGAGGGTAAGTACCTAACTTCGGTTCAAGGCTTTCCACTGTGACATTTTCAACGGAGTAAACTTCTTCACGGTCAAGTTAAGTTTTCAGGCCTTTGTCCTCTAGGCATAGGTATTTTATAAACTCAGGCTTACAGAGATAGAAACTGATATGTTAGCTGATGACCTTTTTAAAAGCAAAGCAAAATTTATTTGAAATGCCATAACTAAATAAAATAACACGGCCAAAACAAGCTCAGCTTCTACACAGGTTATCTGATATAAACTAAATTGTATGAAATGTGATAAAAGTATTTATGCCTGTTAGCTGTATCATGTATAGTATCTAAAAGTATATAAGATTTTTGGTCAGCTCTAGTGTTTACAAACTACCTTTTCAAATTTTTCTACCAATTATGTATGCAGTTCTAGACCATGGGAGCTCAATATTTTTCACATGGAATATCAATTTTATTAATGCTAAAATAACCCTCCAACATGCAAAAAAACCATGCCCCCAGTTTCACTGTGTGCGTATTTTTATTACTTTTCTCCACAAAGAGGAAAGAACTTAACTGATTCAAACACAAAGTTTATCTCTGTAACTTCATGTGATACCAGTCCTCAGTCCTACTTTGAATTAACTATTTCCTTGAGAAAAGTCAAGGAAAAAAAAAAAAACAAACCTGTAACAGAGTCACCTACATTATCAAAAGCATTTGACAAGTTGGGTTCCCAGCAGTTTTTGTACTGAAGTCAGTTTGGAGAAAATTCTAATTAGGGACATGCTGAATTTCCTCTCATATAATTTTCTGATGAGAGCTGGAATACACAGGGGTAAAATGATAGTGATAAAGTTGAACAATGTATTTTAAAGAAAAATATGTTTCCTTTGTATATGCAATATGTTTCAACTAGGTGCTGCCTCCTTATTTCTAAAACAGTGGCATGTGAAGACAGTCACCAACTGCCTAAGGCACAGAGGATTTGTTCCAAAAAGTACATCAGACATCTGTTCAACTGCACAGGAGAGAAAGCAGTGGAACACCTGTAGCTAAAAGTCTTCAAAAATCCTTGTAACTTTTAGCAATTTACAATACTGTAAAAATCCTGTGTCCACAGTTCTACAAGCCTTTGCTCTGGGAGAAAGGATAAACACAAGAGGCATGGGGAACAAACTGCTCTGTTTGTACAAAGATAGCCAGAAAACAGCACTTTCAATAATATAGAGAAAGTGGTGTGCTCTAGGACAAGCATCAAAGGCAGAGTTATCCTGGGGGTTGTCTGAGACCAGCATGTGAACTCTTCCAAGAATTTTTACTATGAGAATTGCCCACTTTTGCTCAGAATGTTACCACAACTATCCACCCTACCACCCATGCCCCAGGAAAATAACTACCTGAAATCCTTTTAGCAAGTCTTTCATATACACTTATTGTACTACATTTGATTTATAAACAGCTGACACCAAAAGGGGTGCTGCTCATCAAGCAAGATAAGTAGCATGACTGAAGCTAAGTCAGAGCTACAAAGTCAGTTCTACCTGCCTCTTCTCATCTTAATACAAGAGTCAGTATAATATGTGAAATTTAGACATGGGGTAAGGGGAAAATCCCAAAGGGTATCCCAGCTTTGGCTTGCTAACTCTATTTTAATCACCAGGAATACACTTCAAGGCAATCCAAGCAGATAAACAAGTACATTGATCTTTGTAGAAAAAAGCTTTAACTAAAACAAAGCTGTTCTTTTTAGACGAAAATCCTAAACAAACATCTTGTTTATCTTCTCACCAGGGCCAGAAGTACAGAGAAAACAAAAATGTAACAGACTACAACCCTGATGTGCACTACACAATAGCCCCATGTGCTACCATAACAACCTATATGAAAATATATTAGCCACCTTAACAAGGTGGCAGATGCCAGCTATTTCCTGCTGAAAATATTTGACACTTCTGTCAGTAAAATTATCACTATCATTCTGACTCTCACATTTCCCCACTTTGTAGATGTCCCAATTTGCTACGTGTGAATCAAATCCAAGAAGTTACTAACTCCCACAATGAATGAATTGCTACAATTAATCACACAAGAAACCTTTCTTCAAACTAAAAGGAATAAACATGTAAAAGTGCAAGTGCTTGATATTTATTAATTAAGAGTTTGAAGAGCCCAAGCTCTACCTCAACTCTCGGGTTACTCTGTTCCCAATAGAATTTCTCTCCCACCAAGTCATGCAGCTTATCCTTCATAGCAGTCCTGCATGACAGGCTCTTTTAGAGCAGTGTAATGGTTGTTTTAAACATCTCAAAAATATGAAGAGTTCATTACATCAGAAATATTAATTCTTATCAATGAGAAACTGTTGCAAAGAACAACAGTGAATTCTGCTATTTCAAAAGTAGGAATTTGACATTAACTGAAGAAGGCACAAACTGTGACTCTCTTCCACTACTGAGGGATGAAAATCACAGAATCACAGACTCATTTAGATTGGAAAAGACCTCTGAGATCATTGAGCCCAACCTCTGACTCATCACACTTTGTCAACTAGACCATGGGACTAAATGCCACATCCAGTCACTTCTTGAACGCCTCCAGGGATGGTGATTCCACCACCTCCCTGGGCAGCCTGTTCCAATGCTTGACAACCCCTTCAGTGAAGAACAGACAATAATCCTCCACACTCCCCTAAAACATGGAACCATGAAATACTTTGTCTCAAAATTACTGCTAGGCACATACCTACGTGTAACATACACAGATACAAGTACTGGGATGGTCTTCAAAGGACTCTTACACAAACCCTCACTTTCCCAGACCGACAAATGCATAGAAAGATGGTGGGGAATCTGCTTCCAACATTGACAGCTCAAGGGACTCCAGCTGACAGCAAGCAGGAATAAAGGGACTCTACACTGCTTGGCTATACAGCATGGTAGAGCTGCATCTGAGAATGACACAACTGATTCATCTCACCCCTCGTCTCCTTTGGCAAGGTCACCTCTGGCAACTGAGCAGAGCCCTGGCCCCTGCCTGGCTCCACTACCCCGCACTGCTGACAGCCCTGTGGACAGCAGAGCACTGCAGGGCGTGAGCAGGGTAACACTGGGCACAGAAACGGCGCTTCTGATACCAATCGCTTACACTGTGAAGTAAAATAATAAACAATTTTTAAAAATGTGTATGCAGGACAGCGTTTCAAGCTGCATAAAAGGAAATGTGCTGTTTGTTCCATTCCACCACAAATATTTTACAAGCTCTTCAGTTTTTGTTTGAAAGTCACGCATCTGGCACGAAAATCGAGAATCTGGCATTTTTTATTTAATCTCCAAAGTGCCACGTTTTGATGGGAAAACCAGGTAATCAAGTCTTTAAAAAACAGAGCAGAAGAATCCAGTCCCAGCCACACCCTGCCAAGGTGGGGCTGTGGCTGCCAATGTTACAAAACACAGCTAGGTACACAGGATAACCCAGAAGAAAAAAAAGTATACACAATTAAATAACAAAAATATAAATAAATAAACAACATTTTAATATATGATATATATGTATATATAATATATATGTATTATAGTATATATGTATTATAGATACATAATATATTAATATATAATGTATATGCATATATATCTAATATATAACATATGTTTGAGATATATATATCGAATATATCGATATCTATATGTATATCTATATGTATTATAGATATATATAGATATAAAACATAGCCAAAATAAATAAATAAAAACTAACACTCGAGCTCCCCTGTAAAGTGAAGCGTCCCTGTGCTCAATTTCACCGGCAGCCTGGCGAGGCCAAAGCCTCATTCGACGCTTGCTGAATTTCTCCCAGGAGGACGCAGCACACGCTGCAGCACCGGGCGAGAGGGGCAGTCGATGGCCAAGGGAAGCCTCGCTGGCCGCGTACGGCCGCCTTCGGTCGGGCCGGCCCCGGCCCCCCGCTCGGAACCCCCCAGCTCCCCGGTATTCACTCCCGCCCCCGGTACTCACTCCTGCCCGGCCGGGCGCCCCCGTCCCCCTCACTGCTGCTGCTGCTTCTCCTCCCGCCGCCGCAGCCTCCCGGGCGGCCCCGCCGAGCCGCGCACCTGCCGCAGGTGAGGCGGGCGGGGCCGGGGTGCCCGCCGACCGCCCGGTCCGGTTCGGTCCCACCGCTCCCGCCCCGCCCCATCCCATCCCATCCCATCCCATCCCATCCCATCCCATCCCATCCCATCCCATCCCATCCCATCCCATCCCATCCCGCTCTCCCCGTCGGTCCCGGTCCCGCTTCGCGCTTCGCCCCTTTTTCCTCCTCCAAACAGGCGAATCTCGCGGCCACCCATAACGCCGGTGCCGTAAAGCGCGGCGCGGGCTGCGCGACAGCCGCGAGGTCCCCGTGCGGAAGATGGCGGCGGGCGAGGCGAAGTCGGTGCTGTTCGTGTGTCTGGGTGAGCGCAGCGGGGGCGGCCGCGAACCGCGCTGCTCCCCTCCCTGAGCGCCGCCGCTCCCGTCCCTGAGCGCCGCCGCTCCCGTCCCTGAGCGCCGCCGCTCCCTCCCTGAGCGCCGCCGCTCCCTCCCTGAGCGCCGCTGCTCCCGCCCACCGCTGCTCGGCCCGGGGCGCGGGGAGCCGAGGGCCCTTGGCGGGAGTGCCGCGGGCGTCCCCCCGAGGGGCTCCGCGCGTTTCCGTTGTCGGGGAGGGCCGGAGCGGTGGCCAGGAATGCAGAAAGCGTAATCCATTTGCTCTCTGGTTCCGACAGGTGGGAGTAACGAGGAGGATTTTCACACTGAGGGTGGCAGAGCACGGGAACAGGCGGCCCAGGGAGGTCGTGGAGTCTCCCGCTCTGGAGACATTCCAGAGCCACCTGGACGCGTTCCTGTGTCGCCTGCTTTAGGTGACGTTGCATTGGCAGGGGGGTTGGACTGGATGATGTCTAGAGGCCCCTTCCAACCCTAACAATTTTCTGGAATCAGTAGGAAGTAACAGGCAAAGTCCAGTGTTGAAAAGCGTGAAGGCTGTGCGTGGGGAAGAGCAGCAGGTCTGAACCTGGTCTGAACTAAGGCATAAACCAGGTCTGAACTAAGCCCTACTTCTCGGGGGCAGCATGGGGTGGTGGCTGTGAACAGCCTTCTGAGTTAAGCAACACTTGGCTCCTGGAACAGCGGCGAGGGAACAGGGAGCCTGACTGCAGGTTTGCTGTTTGGAACACCTGGCATGGGAAAAGGAGACAAGACTGCAGTAAAAATGACTGAAGTAAACGGAACAGCCTCTGCAAAAAGATGAAAAGTACATTAGGATTTTAAGAAAAAGAACTTGGTGGAGAGTGGTCTGTCATGATCTAATTATGAAATCTTGATCTGTCATGAAAATGAGGGAAAAGAATAAGAATTTTTTGAAAGGCTGCTGAAGTGAAGAAATAGGAAACTCTTGTTTTACAGATATTCTAGGTGTTTAAGTTGTAAATGGGGTCATGCAGAGTCATAGAAAACAGAAGTGTAGATGGGATCAGAAATCACTTGAATATTTTTCTGAATCTTAAGGCAATCAGTTACTGATAAAAAAGGCAATCACAACCAACAAGTTGCTGAGTTGGCTGCATGGATTACAGATCTGTGCCCCATTTTGTACACACTTCCATCAGGGGATAACAACCTGGATGGTGCTCTACTCTAATCTAGGAGTGCTTTTAACATTACCTGCTTCCCAGCCTGTATAATCTTACCTGTGTGCTGTGAATCCCTGGCATTTTGCCAGGTTTGTTACAAAACCATTGTTTAATCTTCGGACTTTTCACTCTCTGCTTTTCTGTTGGAACAGGAGACGTGTGGATTAACTGAATAGCGAAACAAGAGTTTAGTTTTGTGAAATATGTTCTGATGTTTACCTTAGAGTAAAATCAGCCTCTAATATAATTCAGGAAAAACATCCTTCACTAAGGGATTATCAGTTGTTGTATGTTTGGAAACCAGTGGCCTATACAAATGTTTTTGTATAAAAACAATTACTATGAATCCTTCTTCCCAAACATGATGTTCCAAAGGCTGTAGTAACCACTGTCCCCGTGTGCTGAAAGACGAGCCAGCAGGGGAGGAGATCGGCCTGGCTGGACAGGGAGCTTTGGCTGGAACTAAGGAAAGAAAGGAGAGATTATGACCTCTGGAAGAAGGGGCAGGTAGCTCAGGAGAACTATAAGCATGTTATGAAGTTACATAGAGAGAAAAATTAGAAGACCCAAAGCCCAATTAGAACTTGATCTGGATACTGCTGTTAAAGACAACAAAAATGTTTCTGTAAGTACATCAGCAACAAAAGGAGTGCTAAGTAGAATCTCCATCCTTTATTGGATGCAGGAGGAAATAGTGACCAAGGATGAGGAAAAGGCTGACATATCTAATGCCTTCTTTGCTTCAGTGTTGAACAGTAAGACCAGTTGTTCTCCAGGAACCAGCCCCCTGGGCTGGAAGACAGGGATGGGGAACAGTATCACAGAATCATAGAATAGAATCACAGAATCATTAAGGTTGGAAATTACCTCCAAGATCCTCAAGTGCAACCTTTAACCAAACACCAATCTGTCAACTAAAGCACAGCACTAAGTGCCATATCCAGTCATTTCTTGAATACTTCGGGGATGGTGACTCCACCACCTCTCTGGGAAGCCCCTTTCAATTCTTAACCAGCCTTTCAGTGAAAAAGTTCCTCCTGATGTCCATCCTGAAGCTCACCTCTGGTGCAGCTTGAGGCCATTTCCTCTTGTCCTGTTGCAGTTGACTTGGAGAAAAGACTGACGCCCTCCTGGCTGCAACCTCCTTTCAGGTAATTTAGAGAGCGATGGGGTTTCCCTTTCCCTTCAACCTCCTTTTGTCCAGGCTAAACAACCCCACCTCCCTCAGCTGCTCCTCAAAGGACTTGTGTTCCAGACCCTTCACCATCTCAGTTGCCTTTCTCTGGACAACCTTCAGCACCTCCATGCCTTTCTTGAAGTGAAGGACTCAAAAGTAAACTCAAGATTTGAGCTGTGGCCTCAGCACTGCCAAGTACAGGGGAATGATCACTGCCCTGGTTCTGCTTGCAACACTATTCCTGATACAAGCCAGGATACCCTTGGCCTTCTTGGCCACCTGGGCACACTGCTGGCTCATGTTCAGCCAGCTGTCAAACAGCAGCTCTAGGTCCTTTTTTCCCAGGCTGCTTTCCAGCCACTTTTCCTCCACTGAGGGAGCTGCTGGAAGTGCTCACTGAGCGACTTTCAATCATTTATGAGCAGTCCTGGTCAACTGGGGAGGTCCTTGTTGTCTGGAGGTTGGCAAATGTGATGGCCATCTACAAGAAGGGTTGGAAGGACGATCTGGGGTAACTACAGGCCTGTCAGCCTGATGCCTATGCCAGAGAAGGTCATGGAGCAGGTCATTAGGAGTGCCATCACGTGGCACATACAGGGCGTCATGGCAGCATGGGTTTAGGAAAAGCAGGTCCGGCTTGACTGACCTGATCTTCTATGACCAGGTGACCCACCTAGTAAATGTTGTCTACCTGAACTTCAATAAAGCCTTTGTCACTATTTCCCAAAGCATTCTTCTGAAGAAACTGGCTGCTTAAGGCTTGGACAGATGCACTGTTTCTTGGGTAAAAAGCTTTCTGTATGGCCAGGCCCAGAGAGTGTTGGTGATGCTGGCGACCAGTCATGGTGGTGCCAGTCATGAGCTCAGTATTGGGATCAGTCCATTTTAATATCTTTATCAATGATCTGGATGAGGGGATTGAGGGCAGCCACAGTAAGTTCACAGACAACACCAAGTTGGGTGGGAATGTTGATCTGCAGGAAGGCTCTGCAGAGGGATCTGGACGGGCTGGATTGATGGGCGAAAGCCAAAGGTTCAGTAAGGTCAAGTGCCGGCTCCTGCACTTGGGTCACAACCCCATGCAGAGCTACAGGCTGGGGGAAGAATGTCTTGGAAGCTGCCCAGTGGCAAAGGACCTGAGGGTGCTGGCTGAACATGAGCCAGCAGTGTGCCCAGGTGGCCAAGAAGGCCAATGGCATCCTGGCCTGTATCATCAACAGTGTGGCCAGCAGGACCAAGGAGGTGGTTGTTCCCCTGTACTCAGTACTGGTGAGACTGCACTTCAAATCCTGCGTTGAGTGCTGGGCCTCTCACAACAAGAAAGACATTGAGGTGATGGAGAGTATCCAGAGAAGAGCAATGAAGCTGGTGAATGGAGAGGAAGTCTTATGAGGAGCAGCTGAGGGAGGTGGCGTTGTTTAGCCTGGAGAAAAGGAGGTTGAGGGGAGACCTCATCACTCTCTACAAATACCTGAAGTTACAAGCGACAGGATCAGAGGAAACGGCCTTAAGTTGCACCAGGGAAGGTTTAATTGGGTATTAAAAAAAGTTTCGTTACCAAGCATTGTCAAGCATTGGAAGGGCTGCCCAAGGAGATGGTTGAGGCTTTAAGTATTTAACAGACTTGTAGACATGGTGCTTTGGGACATGGGTGAGTGGTTAACTTGGCATTGCTGGGTTAACAGTTGGACTCAGTGATCTTCAAGTGCTTTTCCAGCCTTAACTATACTACGCTTTTCTGAAACAATTCATACATACGAGGTTGTAAGCCCATGATGATTTGCACTGTAACAAGTTTCTAATGCAGGTTAGTCTGAGGAGCTCTTATTAGCGTAAGATAATTTATATTAATATTAAACCTGAGGAATGGGTAGACAAGTCAGGACAAATGTTAATGGGATGGATTTTTTGATCAAATCACATATTATAAATAGCTTTTAAATTTCCTCTTCTGTGTTACTGGGCTATAAAAAAATAGCCATAATGGTATGTGGTGTGAAAAAGCTAATTGACATGATAAGCAGGGTTTTTTCAGTTAAATATACACTCTTTTCAGTTAAATTTTGTAGGCAAGTTGTTTCTTCTTCCTGCTTCAATTTTGCTTAATTTTCTCTGGTTGTTCTTGAAGAGTGATACCTTTTTCTCCTAAATCTTATTAGAAATAACATCTGAGATTATTGCTGAAGAGTACTAAACAGATTTCTAGAACTGCATTTATCTATAGTATTCTTTGCTAGTTAATGAAGTACATTAATTCTTAAGTTTGCCACATCCAGTGAGAATGAATCCCAGAAAGTACAAGCCTTAAATGTAGAAAAACTACATTTTCTTTCTACATTGCTATGAAAGAACCATATTACTGAAATGTCTATTGACTGCATTCTTGTTCTTTGCAATGAAATAAACAGATATTCATTACACAACAAAATACAATCTAGTTAATGTGCATAACTACGTTAATGATAAGAGTTCCTCATCCCTGAGAGAATAATGAAATATCCAGCAAAATATGTAATTACAGTATATGAAAAGGCACCAGGAAAGAATTTTTTTTCATTTAAGCAAAGAAATAATTAAAAGTGGAGGTGAACCAAAATGCAGTTTGCTC